AGGCGGCATGATGTCGGGCTTGTTTAGAAGGTTTTTCACCCTCGTCGTCATCTTCGCGTTTTCTTAACTTGCTATGTGACGATGAGGAGGTTGTTGGAATGTCGTGTTCTTGTAGATCATTTGTACCTGACAAACTTTCAGGGCGGTTCTTGTGAACACTTTGGTGTTTAGTTAATTTGTCACGCCTCGCGAAAACCTTGCCACAGGTGTTACACACAAAATGAAAACTGTTCAGAGTGGCGTGCTTCTTTTCGTGTCGTTTTAAGCTATCTCGGCGAGTAAATTTGTCTCCACACACAGCACATTGGTAGTTGGGTGACCCACCGTGCACAGATTGTTTGTGTCGGTTGAGCGAACGTTTTTGTTGAAACACTTTGCCACACTGGTCGCAAGGAAACGCCATGGTACAACTGTGAAAGTACAGAAGACCTGCAATAAGTTTTGGAGTAAATTGCTCTACGGGCAGTTACAATGCAGTCTACATTTTCCAGCCTTGTGCACATAAAATGATAACAAAGTGCATATCAAATGGACAATGCAACTTGACATTAAAAACTCGGCAACGCATCGAACGTCAACACAATATCTGTGTCTGAGTTGGGTTGAGGAAAATCCAACAACATAAGATAAAACGTTGCAAAAGACATAAACGGAGACGGATGCAGACTTACCTCTTCGTAAATTTGTCGATGTGTGATCCACTTTTTTCTACCGTACCGATACGGACGTCATGTCACTGCAATCGTGGATCAACTGTCGTTGTGGTTTGTTTTCGTAGCTGTGCCCCAATTTATATAGTACCGGGGCTGCCAGAGGGCGTGCCCGGGCACGTTTGAGGGGACAATGGGATTACGTCACGGGATGAGTTGTCTGTGCGACACCGACACCGCTGTCCGTGACGTCAAAGGGACGAAGTTGGGCATGCTACAACATGGGCGATTTATTCACGAATATAATGACTCTATACTTGTCAGTCTTGCCTACCTATCCACAAAGTAGTCTGCAATGTCCACTGTTGTATCATTTATCCATGGTTTTAATATTACTACATGTTCTTTGCGGGACACAGTTAAGATTTTTATTTGATTAGCCGGACTGAATAAACCTCAAAATACAATCATGGTAAACTCTTTGCAGTCAGACATATGCGAATCATCACGTGAACAGGCTCGGTAGATATAAGTACTACTGTCAGGTAGAGAATGAAATCATTTTCTCAAAAGCCATTGACCATGCCACACGTTTGTGACGTTTGTGCTCGAAAATTCTCTCGCCTAGACAACATGCGGCGCCATCAGCGGGAACAACACGGTCAGGAGCCGAAACAAAGCGCCGCGTCGTGGACCCAGAAACAGGGGCTTCCAGGAACTTAGATATTTTTGATGACGACTCCAGCATGTCATCTGATAACGATACGGAAATACTCAGCTCTTCGGAGGAGGAGGGAGAGGATATGGAACAGGACGAGGGAGAGGAGGAGGACGACGAGAGAGAGGACGAAGAAGATGAGAGTTCTACTATATCTGTAGACGATGAAGACGATTTAGAGGAATCCGATTCTGAAACGGACGAGTCAGTGACTAGTTCTGAAGAAGGAGAAGAAGAAGACGATGACAATGAAGCTGACGTGGAAGACCCGTGGACACTTTACCGGGATTGGACCGTTATACAACCCCGAAATGAAGGAGAAGTTCCGCAGCGTGTCATCAGAGAGACCAAACGATTTGGCAGAACCTTCTATCTAGTAGAATTTGCCTCGTTGCCCTATAAAAGTACAACGATTGAATATGACAAAAAATGGGTCTCAGAAAAGAACCTGTTGAGGAATCATGGCTACCTTGTCTTGTATTGAAATGACATGAACTCACACCCAGTCAACAGCATCGATAGTACACTCAAGATAGGTAGAGACAAAGATAATTGTTGTAATGTTATCTTACAAAATTATCAATAAAGAAATCTTTAAACATGTTTGCGTGTCCGGGATTTTGTGTTACCGTCTTGCCCACTTGATATTTAACTATCAATTATTTGGTACTGCCTACTCAAATAACTATAGTTAGGAGTTGGAGGACGAGAGAAGGAGGAGGGAATATGCTCACATTAAACACACATAGATTACACACTCCTAATAACTAGATATAACATAAATACTACCTACTAATACCTGTGTGGGACACAATGCCTTCATTAGCTGTTCATTCACTTCGGGATTGGAGGACGAGAGGAGGGAATATACACATGAAAGACATATACACTCTCCTAGTATATATGGCATATGAATACTACCTACAGATACCTGTGTGTGTGGGACATATGCCTTCATTAGCTGTTCATTCACTTCGGGAGTTGGAGGACGGGAGAGGAGGAGGAGGTAGGGAATATAAACATGAAAGACATATACATACTCCTGATAACTAGATGACATATGAGTACTACCTACTGATATACGTGTGTGAAACATATGCCTTCACTATCTGTTCATTCACTTCGGGAGGAGGAGGAGGAGGAAATATGGACACATTAAAACATATACATACTCCTAATAACTAGATGACATATGAGTACTACCTACTGATATACGTGTGTGAAACATATGCCTTCACTATCTGTTCATTCACTTCGGAAGTTAGAGGAGGAAATATGCTTACATTAAAAACATATACACACTCCCGATAACTAAATATGACATACAAGTATTACCTACTAATACATGTTTGGGACATATGCCTTCACTAGCTGTTCATTCACTTCGGGAGGAGGAGGAGGAGGAAATATGGACACATTAAAACATATACATACTCCTAATAACGACATTCAGATATGGCATATGAATACTACCCACTTATACCTATGTGAGACACATGCCTTCACTAGCTGTTCATTCTAGCTGTTCATTCACTTCGGTAGTTGGAGGACGGGAGGAGGAGGAGATGTACATAGTTCTCAGACATATATACACCCTCCTCATGGATAGAATCACAAGCCCATTCATATTTACTATATCGGAATATATATCATAGATCATAAACACAACTTATATCTATACGTTCAACATTAAAACAATCATATCCATATGTCTGTCATATGCCGAGGAGGCGCCGTCGGTGCTAATTATGATCCCTGACCCGCACCGCCCCATAGCGCCGCCCCAAATTCGCCACTTTCTCCGCATACTATACTACTCTTGCACATTCAACCTATCTTTCGCAGCATCAAAGACATTATTCAAATGTTGTAGATGACAACTGTTTTATGTGTTACAGAGAGCTGTTCCTTTCCGATCCACTGCGCTGGAGGCGCTGAGCAGGAGGATATACACAACACAGAGTGACGTGTAGGTTTGAACTGTTGATGAAAGTATTTCACAACGGTAGCATCGACAACATCTATGAACCTCCACAAATTTGTGACCTTTTGGAGTTTTCTTTCATAAATATCTTGTTCAAGGAAATTACCAATGGTGACTTCATTTTAACTTTGGCTGAAACTTTTTTGCTTTCCTCCGATATGTACTGCAGGTGGTCTTTCGGAATTCTACTCTGGGAGATTGTGACTTTGGGTGAGTGTGAAGAATTAACTGACTTTGTGTCAGCGTATAACTTTGCTGGTGTCACCCCATGTTTGACCTTACATTGTTAATAATTATACATGTAGTATGGAATACATGATGTAAGGATAACGATAGTGTTAACTCTTGTAGGTGGAACCCCGTATAGCGGAATGAAATCAAGACTTCTGTTGAGAAGGCTACACGAAGGATACAGGCTGCCAAAGCCAAGGAACTGTGATGAAGACTTGTACGTTTTGCATTGACCTTATATATACGTGTGTCCAATAGCTGCACCCTTCAATTTATCACTCTGTAAAAGCACTATACTATAACCATCTCTACTAATAGTTTCCTTTTTCAGATTGATATATATTATGTTTCTAATGGTTTAATATGATATATGAACAAAAATAAAATATTTGTAAATCTGGGTTGCTTTCTATCTAGCAAAATTACAGTCAACGAAACAATCATAACGAAAGAGATATTTCATATAAATACTGACATATTGTTCCTGACCAGGTATCAGATGATGCTGCAGTGCTGGCAGCGCCGTCCTGAGGACAGACCGACCTTCTCTGACCTGGTGGAACAGCTGAAGGGCATGATGGAGGACAAGAGCGTGAGTATACAATTCTAGTGGTCAAACATCCGTGTCTAAACTGTATTTAGGGTCAGCATCATGTTTACCAAAGGAAAACATATTGTTTTTGCTCAGTTTCTTCCTCTTCTTCCATTTCAATCAAATGACGTAAATAACCAGGGCTAGACGCCTGTCACCATGGTCACGGTTGTTAGGTTACATAATGTTGAAAGTGCCATGCAGAACTGAGTTCAGGAGGGGCTGCATGGTCACCATATATATATGTGAATCTAGAACCATATATATGACAGTGATTGATATAGAATAAACAAAGCAGTAGTTTGTTAAGCTGGACCGTGTGAAGGTAAACATGATGCATTTGCTTTGCAAATGTTAGCTTTCTAATGATCATTGTGATCTGTGATATTCTACAGTTTAAACATTGCATGCATGGGATAAATGCAACAAAGCATATGGCTAATACACATGTTCGCATTAAGATTGTGGAACTTAAGTAAAAATTTCTGGAATTTTACCAGATAAGTAATGCATTCAATTGTTACCAGTAGTTTGAATTGGCGAGATTTTCATGTGAGCTTTACGTCTTGTTTCAGAGCTACGTCAACATTGAGAACGATGACGATTTCGAGTATGAGATCATTGACTCTGATGATAATGATGACATAGATGATGGTGATGATGCATTCACAGGATAGAAAGAACAGGTTGACTTCTGTCAACATGCGAATGTGTCTGTGCCGTTAAAGTGTGTTTTGTCAGCTATACATTTTTTTTTGTTTCTGTATAGTCACTTTTAATACAGTTGGTTATGGTTGGTTATACTTTGTAATCAACAACGTTTACCATGTTCCATTTACTATTACTAGAACTTATTCAAAGAAGTCGCAAATATTTTCCCAAGTTTTTCATACCTCAACCAACAACAAAAGACTATATTATTGCTAAAGTCTCCCAACCCATTTATTTTTCAAAGAGTCGGACAATTTATCTCACATAGCCTCCTGAGAAGATGTAAAAACCCCTAATAGCATGGCAAGAATAGTTTAATACAATAGAATAGATTAGAATAGCAGTTACCTTGTTCCTCTTACCTGTTCATATATTGCATATCTACTGTTTATCATGTATGTATACTAACGTTATTAGATT